TGGTTTTTTTCAGTGACCGGTTGAAATATGATTAAATTTTACATAATTGGTCAGTAATAAGTGAAAAGTTCACCTTTTAAAAGTTTCTTATGTTTTCTAGTAGTCTTTCCACTCAAAAGAAAAATAAAACTATCAGAAACTTTGGATAGTATGGGATAATACATCTACTGATGATGGGGGAAAAGTGACAAATAGAACAGACAGGAACAAAAGTACTATTGTGCTTAAAACTGCTAGATGAAGTTTAAAAGAAGTCATATTATTCCTAGATTATAAGCATTTAATAACGCCAAAGAATATACATTCAACACAGGGATTTATATGCACATATATCTAATATAAATAATTTATTTTTTCCCCACGCCTCAAATATTATTTTCTAAAAATTGTTGAACCTTTATTTATTCTCTGAAGGGTGGTTTGTTTTTTTTTCCAGAAGTACTTGTAAAATTTATCTCAAATGGAGGCTTTATTGTTGATTCGATAACATTTCAGTATAAAAATGCCTATGCTGCATAGCAATGACAATGATCCAGAAGTGCTCAATCTCATTAATCTCACATTAAAGCTATAGATAATTTCATACACAGATAAAAATAAAAGGCAATATAAATTGCTAGAGTAGTTTTACCAGAAATGGAGACTTTTGCATGGTATTGGAGAAAATGAGCATAGAGGAGCAATGCTTCCCAAATACCAGAGGGGACTCATGAATTTCAGTGCTATCAGGCTTTGTGAAAGTACATAGAAACTAGTGGGAAAAAAAAAGCCAAAGGGAAAATTTGTTTGATTTTCTGGGTATTTGATTCTGTACAAATTTTGTATTTCCCAGGGGCTTTCCCTTTTAAATGAAGGGTACAGATCTCCTTTCCTTGTCTCTGTAGATTTGGCATCATAACAGCCCTGGGTGCTTTCAAAGAGAGAGATGTATTGCCAAAAGAAGTTCAGCACTCGCATCCCAAATATGCTCTGGCTTGTTAGGGAAAAGAAGGTACAAGGGAGCAGAGAGGGGCTTTCATAGAGGAGAGGAAGGGAATATTTTCAGAAATATGGAGCTCCTCCCATGCCAGGCTGTGGGTGCTCTCAGGAATGATGATCTCATTGTGGTAGGGTGGAAATGCAACACAAGATCTTTACTGTCTGCCTGGGGCCTCAGAAATGTCTGAAGAAATCTGTCTCTCCAAGCACCGCTGAATTTTATTTACTTTTAATCTCTTTCCTGGCCTCCAGGCTGACATCAGTTGCACCTCCTGGTTGGACTGTCTTTTCTTTCCACAGTTAATATTTTGATGAGACCCAGAGCAAAAGCTCTTTTAGGTAATCACTCAGAAGAGGAATATGAGAGCGCCTTCTTGGGTGCTCTTCTCTCAGGTGGGCTCTGTGTTTGTAGAAATAATTTGGCTTGTAGCTCTTTTTTAGTTTCTAACTGTTCTAATTTGAAATGCTGGATTTCCTGCATGACAGGCCTGTCACTCTGTCCTGGGTTCCTCACTCATCTGAAACATGCACAGTCTCCCTCTTCACCACCTTTGGAAGTGTTCCCTTTTAATGTGAATGGGCTGCTGCTGGGGGGAGACTTAATTGCCTTTCTATTTTCACTCCTTTTTTTTCTGAAAAAGGGATATCAGTCCCTTTGATTTGGCTGACTTTGGGTGCTTCAAGTGGCTCCAAGTATGAACGTTTGAAATGATGTATTGACATTTCAGACAGATCACTGACAGCCTTTCAGGGCTCTGCCTTTACTCAGTGGCTTTCACCAAGTTGCTTTGTAAAAAAACTGCATTCCTGGGTGAGGTGTTCTCCTGATGTTTCGTATTTTATGCAGAAATAAATATGCAGGGAGAAGTAACTAAAGACAATTTGTGTGCACTGAGGTTGTGAAAGGTGGGTCTAAAGGAGGAGAGATTTGTGTGTGGAGAATGTCCTGGTGGCACAGAGGACTCAGTCACATCAATGTGGTTGCAATGACAGCATCACTTTTTCAGTGGTAGGTGTACATTTACTCAATAAATTCCAGACTCTCCCAAAAATACTTCACAGAAAAGAGAGATACACTGTGAAAATGTTGAGCAAATATAAGTGGAGCCTGGAGTCTTGAAACAAGTGCTCAATAGGATTCAGAATCAGTCTTTTCTCTACCTGGTCCTTCCTCCCCACCCCAACTCCCTAAAATTGTACGTTTTAGGGTGTAAATTGAGGTGTTGGTTCCCTCATCAGGGAATCCTCCTCCTTGAGGAGAAATAGGGAGGATGGAATCAGGGGCCTGCCTTGTGGATGGTGGGAGAGGGGTTGTGCTGAGCACAGGGAGCAGAAGGGGATGGATTCAATGGCAGGTTACAGGGAATTTTTTGCTGTTTGTTTGTTTATTCTTACATTTCTTATGGAATAACTGTTTTGGTTTTTAATGATGTGTGAGGAAACACTGCCAAAAATAGAAAACATTAATTTGAATTTTTAATGAAGCCAATTGTACCTCTTTCCCATTTAATTTCTATAAATATTCTACAGAATATAAAGGGAATATTCACTGAAGCAATAAATGTTATGCTAATTCTGTGGGACAAAAATGGGAGAAGTGAGTTTTGAATTCAAAATATTCACAATGATAACCTATTTTATACAGTACTCATCCAAAAACATGCTTAATTTGCATTGAAGCCAGAGACTTGAGTGTGTTTCTAGACTTCAGGGTATTTGTGCAGCTTCTGCAGAATAAGTGCATGAGCAATGAATCTAAAACACATCAAGCAAAATTGTGCCTAACCAAAGTATTGCAAATTTCACAAAAAAAGGGGAAAAAATTTAATTGCTAAAGTCCAGACAAACAGTGAGCTGTCCTGATTGTGTGAAAGTTTTCATTGAACTAATCCAAAACAGTGGGAAAAAAATATTAGGAACTCCAATTTGTTGGTAGATTTTTTGGTTTTGAACAAAATATTTATTCTGCACGAGGATAGGTTTTCCAGACACTACAGCTGTGGGATAATCATGGAATCATTAAAGTTATAAAAGATCATTGAGTTCAACCATTGATGTAGCACCACCACGTTACCCTTAAACCACATCCCCAAGGGACACATCAGTAGGTCCTTTTCTCAGCAGGTCCAGCATGACACCAATCCTACAGACCAAAATGGAGGAGAAATGTTTCCACAATAAATGTTTCCACAATAAAACAGTGGAACAGGATGAAAAAAAATGTAAAGGCATCCTGTGCATATTCCCCAGACATAACAAATTAAGGACAACGCTCCTGACCAATCTCATACAAATTAGATTTGAAAACATATTAGTATTGAGAATATTTTTATATAATAATATCACATTATTTTCTCTAGATACTTTATATAATCTTACCTAATGGGACCTGCTTGTAATAATTACATTTTTCTTGGTTTTGTAAATCAGCTTTCATTTCTCCTTTCTGTGTAGTCATGTCTTTCTAATAACCATGAGTGATTCTTCTACCTGTTTCAGTTGTCTTGCTGACTCTCATACATCTGTTTAAATGGCTAAGGAATAGTGTTCCCAAGTATTACTTTTTGCAAACCCATCCTAGTTTTTGTTATTGCCTTAGATATTTTCATAGTGATTTAATTTATTTTTTTTCTTAAACTCATTTGGGCAAAGGGAAATTTTTCCACAAAATTTTGCAGTATTTGTTGATGTCTCCAAACAAAAGGTTTTGTGAGTTTGGTGCTGAAAGTTTACCGCCTTCTGGCATTTTCCTGATACTTCTGAATTTTCTATAAGTTGACTAGACCAATTTGCATAATGCTATTGACAAACAGTTATATTTATAGTAGAGAACAGAACATTAGACTGTTTTAAAATATGTTTGTGTTTTGCTTTTTTTCTGAAGTTTTCTTTTTATAATTAAATAGAATTTTAATAATGCTGAATTTTGGTGTATTTCCAGTATTTGTTTTAGAGCTATTTTAACTCTGATTTGACATTCAAAAAAGCTTTTCCTCTGTGGCTTTTTCTGCCTGAAAGGCCTTCCTTCAGTGCAGGTATTTTAACACTGCATGTGTTAACATGGGTGCTTTTAATTTTAAATGGATGTTGTCTTTTATTTCAATTTAATTTAAGCTCTTACAAGTGCCATAATTTTAAATGAATAGGCACTCTGAAATCTGGAATAAGTGTCCAGAGAGGATAATTTCAGAATCTAATGCATACAGTGATCTAAATGTATACTTTGTTACACTGAAATTTCTTTCCTTTTGTGGAAAGGAGAAAACTTAACATTTATAGGCTGCAAGATTTTATTTTGGTGTCAATAAAATCTCAAGCTATGTGAGACAAACACATTGAAATTTCCACACTAAAACAGCTCGATTGCCTTTTTTCCTCCCTCTCGATGAAAATGCAAATCAATAAATAGTATTTAGTTCTAATTTGTGTATGAGTGGATTTAGCAATTAATTGAATTTGATGTGTGTCCTGTGGCTGACAGGGTGGTCACAAGGCACAGTTGATTGATACACTCTCCTTTCACCTTTGGAGACCTCAGTTTAATCCTGGCATAGGTCACAGTGAAAATTAGTTTCCATAACCATGTTTTACCTTTAGTGTGTGTTTGTCCACATCATAAACCTATCTAGCACCATGATGGAGTTAACAGTAAATGCCACAGACGAGCTGGTGACCAGAGAGCATTTTGAAGACTAATTCTTGTCCCTCAGCAGAATTGTGATTGGGAGCAGCCAAGCTCAGTTTCTCTGAATTTCAGGTCCTAACTAATCACTCAGTTTTATGGACAGCACATTTATATACTTGAAAAGCATGTTCAGTTACCTTCCTGAAACTCCTTCTTGCAAGCTTTGAAGACCTAATTACAACTCCAGAATGGGCATTTTAATATAACTGGGAAACATTCGCTCGACAACATCTCTTGTTGATTATTTCATCTTTCAGGTCACAGTGACAAAATAAATCCAACCTTAAGAACAGAAGATGTTCTCAGAGGTGATGCTGATGTGTATTCCAGTATTCCCTGTGTTCCCCAGGCAGGTTGGTGACCCCATCCTGGGTTAAGAAGCAATCCCTGAGGCAGAGCTCGGTGCTGAATCCGGAGCTTCCCAACAGGAGCGGTGCCTCCCTGTGACTCAAGCAGAGGTGAGAGGTTTATTGTTTCACACACTCTGAGTTTGCCTTCATCATGCACAGCCCCTATTTCTCATAAACTAACTGCATGCTGAGCAGCAAAAAGGAAAAGCTAAGAGGAAGGCGGGAGGGATCTGTCTGCAAGAGGCACTTGTGCCACTTACACACGCAGGTGCAGTGGCCTCATCAGCTGCAGTACCTGTGCTTCACACCGAGCTTGCTTGCATGAATAAGGCTTTCCAGATTAGTTTACAGGCCTTTAATTTAGCATTTCAAAGTATGACTGTATTTCTGGCATGACCACATTGTAATCACAGGGAAGAATTTTGATGGATAGCAGAGAGGAGAAGAGAAAAAGAGATGCTCACTGAGCCCAGCTGAGGCATGTAGGGTCATTTATGGCTTGTCCACAAATATACGAAGTTCATGAAGAGATACCTGGGAGGTCAGTACACTAATGGGAAAGTTAAGTGTGAGACTGTGCAGCTGGACTTGATGGCTTTTATTCAGAGTTGTTATTAATGTAGACAAAGCAATCTAAAGCTATCAGAAGTATAACCTCTGCATTCGCTTCTGTAAATTATCAGTCATACTACCTTAACAACGGGAACTCAGGTCTGGGTGTTCACCCTGGAGGTGAATCTCAGCCTACTAGGTTAACTTGTGATTTGGAAGGAAACAATCACCTTTCATTCTCTGATAACTTTCTTTTTAATATTGCCTTTTCAAAAAGCTTCTTTTCCACTTTTTAACAGCTGTCTCCTAGAAAGTGGTGCAAGGTGAAGGTGTGAGCCTATACCAAATGTAACATGTTGAGTAGCAGGCATTACCCTTTGTCTAACTAGACTGTGTATGGCCATCAGAGGCCATAAGTTCCTGAGTTCCAAATATTCACACTGATTTCTGATATTGTGAGGAAAGGTTAGAGCTAGCAGTAGTGAATTTTTGTTCTCATTTCCAGCTACACTTGCATACCAGCTGTACCATGTAATAGTTGCAACCTTTTTTTTTTCCTCTAAAAGAGAGCATCCCTCACCCTGATGAGAATTGCAACCTGAAAAGATCATTCTGATTCAGTGGTCTCGACTGTCACCTCTCTGACCTCACAAAATAGACTTTTCAGCTTTTGTGTCTCACCTCTTGCTTTCTCTGTGCCCAGAGTGTTCTCATCACAGCCTCCTCCACACTGACATTTGATTCATTGAGCTGGATTCTGACAGAGAAATCTCGTATTAGCCTCTCTTCTCGGGAGACTGACAAAACCTTTGTGATAGATAAGCTTTCTTCTGAAGTCTGAAATAGCCTGGTATACACCTGCCTTTTTTTGTGATTCTGCACCTATTGGGCAGGGCAGAAAGCAGCTTAAGAACCCGAGCACTGGTGACATGATATTTTTAAACTCTGGCCATGGAGAAGCAGAAGTGATTTCATGTGATGTTAAACAACAGCTAGGTCTCTTTCCTTTTCCTTATCTAAGGAAACATAATTCACTTGGTGCCTCTGCCCTTAATTAGTAACACTTACAAGCCTTGACCTTTCAACAGAGAACTCAGCTCAGCCTCATCTGTAGAGAATTGCCCCTATAATGTAGCTGTGCATAATAATAAAAACAATTTAAAACACATTAAAATGTAAAATAAAAACCCCAGTCTTAAAAGCCCAGGCCCAGATTTTTCCACATTTCTTCATGCTGAGCAGTAATTTGCTCTAGTAATGGTCCCAGTGAGACTATATTGAGACACTATGCACTGCAAGCAGGGGAGTCAGAGCACTGTTTAATAAATAAGCAGTTTTATCCTTATATTTTTTTTGTTTATGGCTCAATGGTCTTTGTGTCCAGTGCATGATGTCTTCCTAGGACCAGCCTACTTTCAACACCCTTCTTCTGGCACTTCACAGGTACATATGACCCTTTGGCTTATTTTTTTCTGATTATTTCTCATAATTTGAAAAAAGAATTATGATTTTTAAAGCACTAGCTGGAGACTAATGCTTTTATACAGACTGATGTCACTGTCAGGGAAGAGAGAAAATGTTTATTTTCAAACTGAAGGTGTAGTCATGCTCACTCTTGTGGTGGTTTTCTGGCACAGAAGGACTGAGTCCTGCCAAGCTCTGTGAAATCAAGTCACTGATACCATGACCCCTCATCAGCAAAATTGGAATCAAAATCTGTGCACGTTTTCTGTTTGTTTGTGAAGCCAATAACACTGGTTGCCCAGTGTCACACAAAATAATATCAGAGTATGTCTGCTATCATGTATTTACTAATATCTTCTCTTTGCAATAGAGATGCCAAATCTATCCACAGGCAGAAGGTAATATTTCAATGCCCAACAACTTGTCATAACCCAACTATAACCAACTATGTGCAGGGGTTCTATAACCAATCCACCTAATCCAGTTCCTGCTGTATCTCACACTGGTGCTGTGTGATAGTTACCACAAGCCTTTCATCTAGAGGAATGTGTTTTCTTAAGATTAGAAGAGGAAGTATGAGCTTGATTCAAGGAGTTCCCTCTCTCTGAGTTACAGTGCCCATCCATATTGATCTATAGCTAAAGAAGGCTGTGATCTACTGGGATCTGTCCTGGAGTAGCAGCAGCTTGGTGGGCAGCTATGAAAGTGCTGTTTTGAGTTTACTTTTGTCCAAGCTGTCCTCCACAACTCTTCCCAATAACTCCTCAAAGCTGATTTTACAAGGTGAATAAGGGATAGGCATCATTTGACTAAATTGCAATTACAGACTAACAGCACTATAATCAGTTGAGGTTTATTTCTATGAAAAACATACAAACATGCTGTGATCTGCATAAGACAGTTTGAACATTAATATAGGAGTTTTCCCCCTATAAGCTTTCCAAAAACCTGAGGTGGCAGAGGATTTGCGTTTGCAATACCAGAAGTGAGCATCTAACCAAACAAGCCCTTCCTCAAGAGTGCCCTCTTATGCAAATACATCCTATGCACTGCAGATTATCCTTTAATAGGCTTTCCCCCAAAATATTTTTTATAATGTTCAAAAATATGAATATGAATCAATTTGTTCTATCAAATATAGATGTTTCTCTTCAGCTTTCCCCATTTTAATTCTAAAAAAATACATGCTTTTGGTAACTTATTTTTTTCAACTGTTTAAATGCCATTAACCTCCAATTTAGAGCATTTGGCTTTTTTGATTCAAGACATATTTTTCAGATTTAAAGCATCTGAAAAGAATAATGTGTCTACATATACAGCTCAGACTTCTGGAGTTGTGATGAAAACAGATTAAAGAAGAAATCATTGGCAGTGGAGTTCTTCAGTGATTGAATTGCTGACTTTTGTTTTGGTGGATACTATAATATATTTATATAGATGCCATTTTAGCAAAATAGATGAAGTTCTCTTTGTATTCTAAAGTTCAGTAGGTATAAATAGAGGAAAATGATGCCCTTCTACTCAGCACATTCAGTCTTCTGCATTTATTTGTTAATGTTTGATCTTTTGCTGTCACCTTATACTTTTGTAAGTACCTTTTCCCTCAGCTGTCATACAAATAACTGTACATTTTAGATGGCTGAGATCATACCCAACTCATCTCCATTAAAAGATACCAATTCAACTCCTCCTCCCCCTGTTACTTGACCCAGGCTTGGTCTGAGCAGTTCAGCTGTGGAAACAACTCGAAGGAAAACAGATAATGAGGGTAAACTGGGCTGTCATGGTTCTCTTTATGTATGGCCATTGTAATTTAGACACAGCAGGCCAACAATGACTCATCAGTGACACCAACCCTGCAATTTTGCTGTGTTTGCAATTTCAAAGGAGAAAGGCAGCTCACAATTACATGTATTAAACTTTCAGATGATGCAGAAATTATGATGTACATCACTTATATTATCAGTCAAACTATAGGGAAGAGAATGTCAGATCTTTATGTGGCCCAGGTGCACATTTCTTATAATTTAATCAGCTCTAGGCACCCTCATTTCACCAGAGAACTATAATTCTTGCTGTGAAAACCACACTGTGCCCTCTGTCTCCCCCCTGCTGCAGTCAGTAAATGATAACTCACGATTCAGAACTGTTACCTGCATTTAATCCACCATCCTGTGCAGTGAGTTCAGCCAGCTCTGCTCTACAATCTCACGTTATATAAAATGCCATGAATTATCTTCATAGAGATTCTGAATAAAAAAAGGGCCTGCTTTAAAAAAAAACTACAAAAACCCACAAAACAACAAACAGCTAGCAATTTGTTTTAGGCAAATGCATGTGACAAATGTGTTCATGCTGGTCTCTGAGAAGGAGACCAGCTCAGCAAGGATGCACTGGTTGTGGGAGAGAGACAGCTACCTGTCTGCTTTCCTCTTCAATTCTCATTGTTTGCCTTTCTTTCCTGTCCCCTTTCCTCACCCTGTCACAGCTAGGGAATAGGCCAGCAGGCTGAGGAAACCACTATCCTGGTGGGGGAAATTCAGCTCACCTCTTAGATCCTGCCAACGAAGTCGGATTTGGAAACCCCGTGGGAGAGGGTGTGAGGGCAGAGGGATGACCTGAGTGAATGGTCAGGTCACACTGACCATTTACAGAAGTACAGGGGAGTGGGAAGCATTTCCTGGGTGTAGGAATGTGATTTCAGGGCTAGAAGGAGGCTTTGAGAGGTGGAGTGTGTGGGTGGCTGGCCGGGTGGGTGGGTGGATGTTTTTCCTCCAAGAAACCTGGCTGTCAGGAGCTTGCTGTCAGCTCTGGAATGTTCTGGTTCCCACTGGTGGTGGGGGGTCCTGATGAGGGCTGGGAGGGGGCAGAGAGCTGTGGGGTGCCCATGGATGAGGGGCCATCCATCAGAGGGGCTCAGGGAAAATCCCTCTCTGGCTTGTGCCACTGTTCCTGTGAGCTGCACCACCCCGGAAAGGTCCACGTGGCTCTGAGAGGTGGAATGGCCACCTTTGTGTTCCCCAAAAACATAATAAAGAAGTTAGGGCTGCTGTTTTGAAAGCTGTCCAAGGAGGATTTGGATGCTCCCTTCTCATCAAAAACTGATGGGAAAACAGGTGCCAAAATCCTGGCATTGACATCGTAAATCTACAGAATAAAAGCAAGAGAGAGTTGAGAAAGACAAATGCCTCTTCAGCTGGTATTATGCCAGTTTCAAAGAATTTATTTTCTCCCTACACCTTTTTATCTTTGCCTATTCCAAAAGGAAGTAGGCAAAAATATTCCACCTAGGAATATTTTTGATGTTTTTCATTTTGGAATTATATTCTTTTCTCTAATTAAATTTCATTTTAAAGACAATTTAAAAAAAAACAACAACAAACCACTAGTCAACAAAAAAACCCCTAATTTCTTGTACTGTTCTAGTGAAAACTATTTCTGGGTATTTTCCAGTTTTATGGATTTGTCAGTGTCATCACAGCCCAAGATTAACAGGGATCCCAGCCCATGGATGGGGTCACTTGTTCTTTGAGTTTCACGAGAAACACCATAATAAACTAATCCAAATCCTCTTTCCAGAAAAGAGCTGAAGCGTGTTTGAGAATTAAGATTACACAGTGTACATTGCTGCAATCCAAGCCTTCTGACACTATTTATATGCATTGCAGATGGGAGAAGGGCTCTCCAGAGGAGGATACCTGGATAGCACATCTGCAGAGTGCTGCACATCAGTATTATGCATCCCAGCTAAAGGTAACCCTGATGTCCTTTTCTCTGATACATTGATGTTCTTGGTGGTGTTGAATCAAACATGTTTCAAATTGATACAGAAGGACAGAACTATCCTTTTTTTCCCTTTGTATTTGTGATATTTATTCACTGTTAGGTTCTCCACCATGGAAAGTCTCTTGCTGCTTTGGTATTTTGCAACTGAAACTCTGCAAGGACCGCGCAGTATAGTTTGTTACCCTGGGAGTGGAGGTGGGTGTGTTGGAACAACAGGTTGAGGCTGCACAAGGACAGGTGTGGATCAGAACACAGAGTAACTCCCTGCAAACGCTGCTGTGCTTAGAGTTTCCAGCGCATGGCTGTTAAGAGGTCTGTAAGTAAGTCTGAATGCCTCTTGTTGTGATGGTGATGCACAGCTCTCTGCAGGTTTGACGAGCTATGTCAGAGCAGCTGAAGAGTGTGACATGCACAGGGTGGATTGGTGTTTACAGCTTGTGGATTTTGGTCATTATTTATGGAAAGACAATTTGCACTGTGTGATATTCCGTGTGAGTGGTGAGCGCTTAAAATTTCAAGTAGTTTTGAGCCCACAAGAGCTACCAGTGCCGTAGGAAGCTGAAAAGTCGCTGCAAACCCTTTTCCCTTTGCCTCGTTACTGAAATGCTTTCACTTACTTATTTTAAAAGGACCACATATTTCCCCAGACAATTTCTTGGCTTTCCTGTTCTTTCACTGGTGCCAGATACCAGTGCCAGTGATTTTTCTCCTGCTTATTGTGGTTACAGTATTTCTTCTATAGAAATTGTCTGGAGGCCACAGACTAATTTTCCCGAAGTCAGTAGACGGGTATTACATGGCATTGACTCTTGGGCTCTCTCCGTCTGTTTTGGATTATAACTATTGACCTGGAGGTGAAAGGCTCTATATCCCATTACTAATTCCCTGACTCATACTGTTCCCTAGAACAGTGCTTTAAACAGCTGATGCAGGATGCTTGTATTCAATAGCATCTCTACTAATAGCACTTAAATTTATTGGCCAAGATACCTTTCAGGGTTTGTTTTTTTGAACAACAGATAGGTGTTTTCATGTAGCTGCACTCATGGAGTCCTTGTGAAATTCTCAAGTCCTTATGCACTCTAACTCTTAGTTAAGATATCTACCTTCAGCAAAAATTTAAGACAAGACAGAAGTTGTTTTAGAATTCTATCATGCTCTTATTCACAATAATATACCGGATATATTAAAAGCTTTGAGTTCATAAAATCCAAACATTTTTCTGTTTTGAATGCCATTGTAGTCCTTTTAATTAAAGGTTGTGACTTAGCACACTTCCTCGTTACTGCTATCTGGAAAGCTAAACATTTGGCATTTCAGCCCTGTTGTTTGGGGTGAATGTCTGAATAGAGAAGAACTGAGATAAACAGGTACAAGAATTAGGGAGGGTAATCCTTCTTGCTATTGGATACACATGAAAATCTGCACCTTTCGCATATATCAGCTGGTTTGTTCTTCCATTTTTTTCAACTTTAAACAAACAGATGTTTGAAGACAGTCAAATCACCGGAATTTGGTATGGAAGAACTTCAGGTTTTTTGCTCCAGTATAATTTAATCTCTATAGTCTGGGTTTTTTATAATTTTTTTTTCTCTCTTAATTTCTCACTTACTCTGAAATATCACCACTTAAAAGTGCTGCATTATCAAAAAGTTAGTGTCAAATAAGTTATTTTGGCCCATATAATTAAAATAAATAAATCCCAGATAATCTTATGCAGAGTTATTCTTATATAAGTGTATAGAAAACAGTTTGACACAATAAGTCATCAACGTTGGATTCATCTTGAATTTGTCTTATAAGTGACCTCTGAGAAACAAATTGGCTCCAAACACACCCCAAACTGTGAAATTGCTTTCATGAACTTCAAAGCAGTGTATGTATTTTAATATAAAATTTATAAGTTACCAACATTCCTCAGGCATCTATGAGCTGGTTATTTCCCATAGTGTCGTGTGGCTGTACTGTTATTTTTTGCTGTTGTTTTCATTTGTGAAGTGATAAAATTGTCATAGATTGTCAGGGCAACAAAGAAATTGCTTTTTGACATTATCCTCAATACATTTGGCTGAGAATTAATTGTGGATTATAAAAAGTAATTTTGAAGCTCTGGATAAAATATGTGAAAATACATAAGACCTATAGGCAAATTCCTATTGAGTCATGAGTTTAACATGGCTAATATTAAGAAACAAGACACTGATAACAACTGAAAAATAAACCACTTAGAGTAAATTATAAGGGGCAATATCAGTATAAAACTCCAGGAAAATGTGATCTAATATTCACAGGACTTTGAATGTGTGAATGTATCTATTTCCTTTCTTCTCTGATATGTAAATGAAAAGAGAATCTACTTTTTGGTAACTCTTTATTACTCCAAACCAGATGTGTATCAGGTGTGCAGATGTTTACTGAATTGGGCTGGGTTTTAATTGATATGTCAACAAGAAAAGTGTTTAAGGGAAGAAAATTGAAGATTTGGAGAAGAGATGAGATACTGTCTCAAAAATGGCAACACAAAAAATGTTAAGTAATGATTAAATAATGCAATAGAACAGCATAAGTCAAAAGAAGTAAGAGTTAAAAACAAGCCTAAATTAAAGGAAAATACAGTACAGTGAAACAGCTGTTTCAGGGGAGCATTTCTAGGAATACACAGAAAAAGTCTTGGATTTAGATTTAGGAACAAGAGTGTTATATGTCTGCTTTTATATTGAAATATAACAAAAAATAATCCAAGACCAAAAGGTGTCTTTTTAAACATCTTTTCTTTAAAAATCATCACTAAAAATTATTTACACCACTGACTGCACATTAAAATCAGAACTATATTTCTTATTTTTGAGTATGTCTGTCCTTCCAGGCACTTTGAAGCCTCTAAGTGACAAAATGTTTAGAAAAAACAGTTTGGAAACTGTTAACTCTCAGTTAAGAATGGCCAGGATTTCAAATGAGAAATGGCAAAATAAGAATAAATTAAAAAAAAGGGAATCTGAAGCTTTCATAGGTTTCATTGTCATTACCAATGGAAAATGGAGCAGTCTGGGAGGAAGGGGGCAGATTAAATATAACTAAGTCTGCCACATTTCCATCTGCTTTTATGTATCCAAACCAGAAAAGAGCCACCTGCTAATCAGAAGCGACACATCTCATTTATGAATGCAATTAGTCTTTTTTAGTTAATTGTCTTATTTAGTTTTGAAATCTTTAAACATATGGGCAAACAGTAGAAGATCAAAAGATAATAGTTCTGTAAATGAAAGTCATAAAAATATGATGAGTAATCAAATGAGTTCAGGGCAAAATCGTGAAAATTGCAGCATAAACAAGATTGTGGTAAAAATAATAATTAAAAAAACAGCCCATGCAAACAAAACATCATCTAAACAAAACATATGGTAAAAATGGAAGAGGGAAAAAAGCAGTGAAAATCACCTCCCTAGTGCCTTACTACCTTCCTTGCCTTCAAAAAACACCGTGATACACACACAGACTAAGGAAAAGACCAACAAAAAAAATCTCAGTTCGTCATATTTAAGTGTGCTGCTTAATTGCACATATCTTAGCTGGTTCTTTTTATACTATGTGTTTTGCTTCTTCACTTACTTTCATGTAAAAAAATAGTATAAAGTGGGTTATTTACATACCACACATTGCCATTAAAAGCAACAATAAGTGAGTTTCTAGATTTTCTCAAGACTTTTGCTCGCTTTTTTCTGTTTGTGTTTGTTGATACAGCTGTGAGCACAGCAAAAAACATCCATGGGATCTGTGCAAAAAAGATGTTGCAGTTCTGTGGGGGCTTCCAGTGAGGAACAGAGCACACAGATGCTTTGCAGTCTGATTTTGGAAGCATAGTTTTGTGGCTGGGACAGTATTCATTTATCAGCACTGTTTTCAACCTGCCAGTTGTTAGTTTTTAGCAGTTTTGGTTTAGTTTTGATCAGTGATATGGGGCAAATGTCATGCCTTGAGTAACTGCATTGAACTCCCTAAAGACCTTCTTTAGGCGTTTTACTTTGCTATGATGTATCTGCCTAAGAGTTCATTTCCACTCAAAAATTCTCTCTAATTTCCCTGGAAGTATTCACTCCTTCTTTCTGCACATCTGCTTCCAGGGTAAAATCATCCCAGGGCCAAGAACTAGAGGACATGTATCTGCTATTTTGGAGCATGAAGAGGATGTATTGATGGTAAGCACAAATGTGTTTGTATGGTTGAATTCAGGATGTGTCTGGTCATGCACAGGTCCCATTTCACAATATGTATGTGCAACCCAGTTTCCTTATGGAAGAGAGCAAACAGGTAGTCTGCAAGACATATCTGGAGTGTCAGGGAATGATAGAAAGATTGGCTTTTAACATGAAGCAGACTTTTGGGAAAAAGATAAGAAAGAGTGAGTTTTAATTAAAAATCCTCTCAGCTTATCTTCTCACTCAGGGGAACATAATTTTTCAACCATTAAAAGCAACTGGAGCATTTCAGTCTTTTTTTTTTTTTCTTCTTTTTTTCTGGAAGGAGAAATAAGTCCTAATAGAGCGAGTGCAATTCAGAAAATTCAAATGTGCCCCATTTGCTCTGCATGGATTGCACTGCTGTGTAGAGGATGCAGTTTCTCCATTTGGACAACCATCAGCTAAATTATATAGTAACAAGGCCATTGCAGGGAAACTTTGGAAAAAGGACTCAGCTTGAAAAGGAGTGACAAAACAGCGGGAAGCCTGGATGTTTGTGAGCACAAATTAACATTTCTCAAGTACTCAACACAGTGGTTCATCTGCTCTGTGGTCAGTATTGATCTGAATAGGTAGGTCAGAGATTGGCAGTTATCTCTAAGTTGTCAATAAATTGATAAACAGATTTAAACTATATGCATTGAGCAGGTTTCTTTTTTTCCCCTGCAAACAACAAGATCAGACTGTTGTGGGAGACTGGAAAATGAAAAGACTAAACTATAGAGAACTTCTCTTTTATGGTATTTGTGATGCTGCTCAGTGATATTATAGCTCCTCCGTGTGTTTTTGCCTTAAATAGTGTGTGTGTTGTACTGATATTATTGTTTCTTTGCTTTGTAGTCACAAGAAAAAGAAATAGGGCCTATTCATCTATATACAATATTTATTTTGTAATGGATGAAAGGGGAAAAAAGAGAGGTAAATAACCCCACAACTTTTTCCTTCAATTACTAAAGAGAAAAAGAGCAGGTGTTCAAAAAAACCTGTCATATAAAGATTTCCACTTTCTTTGGAAAGCAAAAACATTGAAGAGAATCTACAATTGTTGGTTTCCTCTAGAAACAGTAACACTGCCCTTCCTCTAATCCCTTTGACCTCCTATTGTAAGGCTGCTTATAAACCGAAATAGAAACCACACGCTGGCAGTCAGGGCATCCTTAATTTCTCATCCTGAGTAAAATAAAGCAAAATCCTCTGTGAAAGAGCTCATAATTCTCCTTTCTTGCATCTGAGAAGGAGCATAATGGAAAGTGACACTGAGAAATCACGGGTGGGTAAGAGTTGTGGCAACACTTTTTAGAACCGAAAAGTATCCATCCAAGAGATAAAAGGAGTGAGTGTGAGTGTGAGTTTGGTGGGTTTTTTTTGCTTGTATGTTGGGGTTATTTTTTGGTTGGGTTGGGTTTTCTTGGGGTGTGTGTGCGTGAGAGCCATGGGAACAGTGGGGATGTTCAGTGAGGCCATCAGACACTGACTGTAGGCCAAAGCAAAACCCCTAAAATGCCTTTAACATAGATGTGAGACTCAGAAACATTAGTTTGCACAAGAAAACTTTTCCCTTTTATGCTGTTTGACTTGTAAGTGTAGATAGAGCCCAAAGTTCCAGTTTGTAGAACTGGGTAATCTCATAAGTTACTTTTAATTCCACATGTAGATATCAACAAAAAATTGAGAATAAATAGAAAAGCAATTTTTGGAGAAGTTTCAATTGAAAGACGCTGTCCAAGTAGGAACAAAATCAGAATTCAAGTTGTACATATTCATCAGTACTCAATTAGATGGGCTCACGTGCCTTGGACCTCAAGAAGATAACATGATTCTGGAAAAAATACAAAAAGATTGTGAGTCTTGATTTTTATGGAATAATTGATATTGTTTCTTATCTTTTTAGTCCCTTTAGCCAGTTATAACTGTCACTATGCCTTGGGTCCTCATTTATGCCAAAGCAGTTTTGATCATGTACAAGAATGGATTGCACAAACATCTCTCAGGACTGGGTTGGGTATTAACAAACCTGCTGTTGGGTTGGGGACTGCACTAAATCACCTTTATTGATATTTTATGGCTCTATTTTTTGGTATTATTCCATATCTTCCTTTAGAGAACTATGGTAGGATACTGTCTGGTATGCTGTGTGTCAAGTAGCTTGGATAATGGATTGCCATCCCAAATATCAAGCAATTCAAGTGATGGATTTTCATCCTATGACAAGTCAGGAACAATTGCTGCAGGGGTCAGAATAGAACTAGTAGTGCAATCACAGTTCAGAACAGCACAGATCATATAAAGCCTTATGTTTCCAGGAAGTTCCTCATTTGCCCCAAAGTTCCTCATTTATAGTGCCCGGATATTTCACAGCATGTGAGTGTTTAAAAAATATCAGTGAAAATTAGATATGACTGAATTTTTTTCTATGTTACTTGGAAGCCTGTGGGTATTTAAGTGATCAATCTTTACTTCTTTTTGGAGTGACAGAAAATGGCAACTGATCAGAGATCCTATTGCCTGTAGGAATGGTTTTGGTTAGGAGGCTGAGTTGTAGGAGGAAATACATCTCAACTCTGAGATCGGGTTTCTCCTAAAAGCAAAGTAAACCCAGTAGGGATGTAGCAAGGTCTCTGCTGCAAATCCTTGATATTTCAGATGTTCAAACCACAGGAAGCAGATTCAGGTGCAGACTCATGTCTGTGTGTGCTGGTCCTACTGGAGACTCAGGACTGGATCTCCCACACCTCGAGCTCAGTACCTGTCACTCTGCTTCCACCTGCTCACACATGGATCCTTTCCACTCTTGTTGCTGCTACTCCACCTCATGAAACTATTTTACTGGATCGGAGACTGTCTCTGTAACTCGTTGACCTCATATGTTCATATAAAGTGGAAGGCTAACACTAAGAACAACTGAAAATTCACTACTGCGACATTTTGAGAGATCCTGATTTGTGTATTTCCGAAAAAATCACCTTTTCTAGAGACAAATTCCATATTAAAAACAAATTGCAAACCATTGTGAATTTTTGAACTTCAAATCTAACTACAGTATTTATATAGTTTTCTTTATCAGGTTGTGCTTTAAAGTTGTGAGATGCCATCAGTTTGGGGGAGAAATCTCTACCAAGGTCATTTTGTTTCCTGCTTGCTCACTCACATTAGGAAGACCCCGCAGTGCACAGTGGTACATTGAGATGACAATTATTCTGATTTGGAATTTTGTGTACAATAATTAAACAGCCAGGTACCAGCAGACATGTGTTACCCTGAGATAACACACTCCTTGGAAGTATCATGAGGCAGAAGGTGAAATTAGTGCCTCCAATGACCTGGGAAACACATTATCTCACCACTGCAAAAGCCTCAGGGTGCATTGTTACTGTGTGCCAACTATTAGCATTATTAGTTGCATCTTGATTGATTGCACCATGTAAAACATATGTTTAAAACATGTTCACGTTGTGCATCATGATAATTCTGTCTGACTCCGAAGGACCGACATATCAGGTGTGAGTCGATAGGAACACGAAGTGGGGTTTTTTTCACTGGGATATGCATGACTGGCAAAAGTTATCTTGAAAGGGACTTGAGCTACAGAGTCCCACAGCTTCAAAAAAACCAACATCCATAATGCAGGAGAGTGCTCACATGTAATAGGCTCAAGTGGAGCATTCACAACTGTGGTGTATTATTCCCTTTTTCACAGATATATGTGTGCACGTGTGTGTGTTTGCATGCCCAGAGTGAGCTTCCCAGTGTTTATTTTTAACCTGGGATCATTTTTGCCCCCCACCCCGACCTTCCCATGCCCCGTGCTGTCAGTTGTCTGATTTTTCAGGTGACTGACAAGCAGCATTTTTTCCAGCACCGCTGAGCAGCCTGGCACTGTCCCCGGGACACGGGTTAGCACAGCCCTGGCAGACAAAGGGCTTTGTGCTGCCTGCTCCTTGTCACAGCCCCGCAGCCAGGCACCACATCACACAGAGGACAAGGTCTATCTTTAATCTGAGCTACTCAGGAAATCAAAGAGGGTGGATTAAAACAAGAGCAGCGACTGATTTCTGTAGGAGATCACTTTCCTGTTTCCTTTGATATAATGAACAGGATAATCAAAGCAAGGTTAGAAGCCCACCCTGTACCTTTTTTCCAACGATTTTTGTCATGTCAGTTCACAAGGTATTATAATAATTGAACATGTGTGGTAATGATTTTAAAAAGTTTCCTTTTTTTCACCTTAGAATAATTTACATATAGGTGCTCTGGTAAGGTTTATGTCTAATGAGTCATCATTTAAAGATGTGAAACCTTATTAAACCTGCAGCTGTTTGTTTTTTTTGAATCTTAGTGTCTTTTGCTAAAAATAGCTGCACTGTCATCATAAGCACTACACGTCAAAAATGTGGTGCGATGTTGCTTTGACACTGGACAGCAAAAGACCTGGTTCATGCTCGGAGAAAAGAGCGTTAAGGGGAAGATGATGGGGAAGAGTCGCCAGGTTTGGCTGGGCTGAGAGGTACCAACCTCCCGGCTCACAGCGATCGCTCCGCACACTCAGTCGGCAAAGGCGGGGTGTCCCTGGGGCTTCCCAGGCAGCTCCACCTCCAGGTCTCCCTTTGCATGCCCAGTCCTGCCTCCTGCGTTTGCCGCAGTGTCTCAGGAGAATCTGACACGAGCATTCCCTGGGCTGGCACCGGTGCAGTGACCCCGGATCCCTCCTCCAGCTCCCATCGAGCTGGTCCCGTGTAAGAGCGCAGGTGGCTATGTTCTTTACAGGCAATACCTCTATATAAGTGAAATTTGCTTCCCTCGTGTGTTTTAGACAAGTTGGTGATTATTTTTTTACCTTTTTCTTCTCTTCTTTAAAATGAGGTTAGGGTGGCAATGCAGGATCTCTGGCTAATTCCGTGCTGGTTTTCTTTGCACTTCAGTTGAATCCACATGGGATGGTGATATTCAGCTCTGCATTACTGCTATTTCTCACTTTAATGACCCTGGTAAATCTTTAATGATTGCCATCACTGTCAGAAGGGCACAGAGGCCCCTCGTCTGTCTTGATGCAACCTAAGAAAATATGATCACGGATGTCAGTTAAAATAATGACATTGGTGGGAGGTCACTTGTCTTTTTATGGGTACCCACCTCTCCTTGCAAAAAGCAGCATAGAAATTCCACTTGTAATCATCATAATCACTAAAAAAAAGTAAATGTAGGTGCCTCAGGTTTTGTTTTCATTAAGCAGGGCAGCACATTCCAGAAAAAAAGAACTGGGACAGGCACTTCACAGGGAATGGGCCTTATCATTTCAGTATTCTGGAGCACCTAAGATATGAGCTGTAATGTTAAATGAGATATCTCGAAGTGTGAAATTTTCATCCTGTAGTACTTACTTGAAAGTTTGTGTTAGAGAAATTCATTTAACATTAGAACCAAGATTTTTCCACCACTTAAACATTGTTTCATCATGAGTGATTTCTCTATCACAGCGTAGCTTTTAAGACATAATTCTCTCAATTTATGGAGTATTTTAGCAACCCCGTGAGTCAGAAATTAGACATACAGATCTCCTATTTTCATCAGTAGCAGTTGCCCGCC